CGATCTTGGAAAGGATGGTGGTGGCCATTCACACCGCTGCTCGAATCATCCCTTTCACTGGAGCCATGTTCGCGCAGAGGAAGGCAACGTCGACGAAGTCGATTTGCCCGGTCTGACTCGTCAGCCTTAAGATGGCTCAAGGCGCACTGTTGTTTGCATGTTACTTCTTCCTCTATGATTCCGACAACCAGTAGGGAAGCTTCTTTTGATATTCCCAAAGTTAAACTACGTAAAGCCGGTAGATTGGCAAGTGGTTTCGTATCCTCATCGCGGGCAGCCTTTTTTCCTCCATTAATATATGCACTAGAGGATTAGTTATATCGCCGAAAACCGCAAAGATTCCAAATCCAAAGCGTGAGAGAGAAGACCCTTCTGTTGAGAAACATAATAATGATTTGGAAGGTCAGCGTTGTGTGGAGCTGCGTGAGTTTGTGTGTTACGTTTTTGAAAGAGCCTTTCCCCACAGTCCAGAGATGAAGAAGCACATTTTGCCTATCCACGAAGCGCTGCGTCCCTTCGCCTGCGAGATTTGCGGCAAAAACCTCGCGCGGCTCGGGTATGTGAATGTGCATATCGATTCTCTTTACAAAACACTGCGTCCCTTCGCGTGCGAGATTTGTGGCAGAAACTTTGCGCGGCCAGAGTACGTGAAGACGCACATTGATTCTGTTCACACCGCCCGCCTTCCAATTAGGCGCGTTTATTGCGTCCAATCGGCGTAGGCTACTGGAAAATTTGAACGCTTGGCTGACCGCTCAAATTGGTAAAATAAAGGTTCTTTTATTTGGTTTGTCTAATCTTTGGGCGTATTTTCTACAAGAAAAGTTTGATCTTGTGCCCTTGAGCCTTTTGTAAATTGGCAAAAGTAGTCTTCGTGAATCTTGGAAGCCCTGATATATTGAGCTTCGTGTTAGGAACACTTATGCTCGGTTAAGTTGAATGTATTTCAGGAAATGTATGTGTACACTTGAACCCCATATTTATTTCAAGCAAGGAAAGTATTAAATTGCGAAAGGGAAACATTCAAAAACTTTGAAGGATATATCAAATGTATGCATATAAACGAACAACGGGCTGGAACCAACAGCTCGATTATTCACGAGTAGAACTCGATTTTTTTTCATTATATCGTCACGAACTATAAATTTCGTTAATATAATAAGCTCTTGCATAAGTGAAACGATATTACGTAGTAAGCAATACGATGAAAATGTCCTCTAAACTCCTATAGGCACTGATTTCTGGCAGCAATACTTTTTTATCTTCATGTGTGACTGAAATCCATAACAAAATAAAATTAATAACAGAAAGCGTCAAGATTATTTCGGTATTATGGCATTGTGGCGCGTAATTCTATAGTGATCTATCTTCCTTTTGATGACTACTTCGGATGCGGACATACTTACATCATCACGCAGGACATGCTCACCTTCAACTCACTTCAACCTTCAATTGGGCAAGAAAAATTACCGTGTGTGCAGCGTACCCTGTGTCCCACGTCGTTTGGTTGGACGGCAACGTAAGTTTTTTGAAGTTGTTACTCAAAAAATTCTGTGGGTACAAGGTAGCACTTCTGACTAGCATGATGCGATATTTTTATCAGGTTGTCTCGCAGTTGTCTTTCACTCGAAATATGGGGATAAAAATATGATTTCCGTGCTTCATTGAGAATGAACCCCTGTTCAGTCAAAGGTTTTCTGCCCGATTTGAAACATCTTCGAGACGATTAGGAGGTTTGGCATATTTGCTTAATTTGAGTTGACCCAAACGTCGAACGCCTCGAGTTTTTTCACAATTTGGTCGCCTCAAGTATTCGAGACTGTTGAGTTCCTTAAGGGTTCATTGTCTCCAAATTTGGGTAGCGAGCTCAATTTGCGGCCGCACAAAGTTTCCAAGGACTTGAGCGAAGCACTCTTCATAAAGGACAGAGGAATCACACTTGGCAATATATGGAACAGACATCACAGACGTGATAACCTTCGAGCCGTGTGACGAGTGTTGAGGTGAAGTCGTAATCCACACACCTACTTGGTTCCAGGTGCCCACTTTTGCGAGGGTATGTCACTGAGGAGGTAAATGAAGATCCGCTTCCGTCTGGTCGTATAATTCTGTTCTCGTTTTTGTGAATATGCAAAAATCAGTGAAGTCAGTTAGTTTAGTAGTTCAGACGGTAAACATTGCTACACCACAATCCACTTCATGACGCAATCTTTTGTAACTGAATGGTCGGAACTTGGTATGCTTTGTTTCTGGGTGTTGTTATTTCCACTTCCATTTGTCTTTAGGAGGAAGCAAGATTGGGATAATCAATGCCCATTCAAACCTTCTTGAACAAGTGCTACGAAGAGCGAAAGAAATGGTCGGTGGTCTCAGGGACTTACCATAACAGGAGAGACTGATTAAGCTTGGCCTTTTTCCCTTGTCTTACTGGCACGTACAGAGCAGCCTGCTCTGGACATTCCGGATAATCTGGGGCCACATTTCCTCCCTCAAATTGGAGGTTTTCTTTGAGTCAGCCGTTAGCCGTTCTTGATAACATAGATATTCGTTGTACTATCGTGTCAAAGCTATCATCTAAATTAGGCTTTTGGAGAATTTTATCAACTATAATTCCATTCATATCGGTTCTAGTGCACTCTTTTATCTAAATGCCTTCACATAAAGTCACTGAAGGCACGGGAATTGTAAGCTTGTGCGATACGGCCCTGCAAGAGGGGAAAAATGTTCGCCAGTGCCTGTATTCGAACTCCCGACATCATCGCAACGAGGAAGAAAAGTCGGTCCACCACCTGGATTTGAACCTCGGACCCCTCGTGTAGAAGCCGGGCGCCTACCCAATTGGGCCATCGAAGAACGCAGCGGCAGTTATAAAATTCCCTTGCCAACGACTGAAAAGAAGTCTAGAAGTCTTTTGAAAAGTCTTCATGTCAAACGGACGAAAAGTCTTAAAAGTTCAAGGGATGGAACTTATAAATATGAGACTTGCATATCATATTTTACCCCTCTTAACAAATTCACGAACATCGAGAAGGTGGTAAATAGTCTAAGAGTGGAGATAGAGGAGTTGACGAAATTTCCTCGATTTTTCCCTAAAGAGGAGAAATTGGCAGCCTGAACTTGAGGGAGGTAACCTAACGTACAGAGAAGTAGCATCCCTCGCCGAAGCGTCTACGCAAAAAATTGGTCAGGCAGCCCAGGTGCTTGACGGAACTGATAATCTGTCATGGACAGAGAAAGCGGTTGACCCACAGGCCTCTCAGAAAACGAAGAACCGCTCTCGGATTCCCATGAAAGACGAATTAAACCACACGGCTAGTATAAGTGGGCCGAGCTTGAGCATGATCCAAACAAAAAGAGCACCTTCGAAGGATGAAGCGGATATCAGCCTATTGCTTTTGACATAGCAGTGGACTCACACAATGGGTGAAGATGGTAGAGTTGATGTCATTTATACTGATTGCCAAATGGCGTTTGACTGCGTCCCACAGAAACGTCTTATATATAAATTATATGAAATTAAACTAAAAGAAATTCTGCTGACATGATGCACAACTTTTCTGAAAGGGTGATCGCAAAATGTATGCATCGATGCCTCGAAGTCAACCCCTGTTTCTGTTCCAAGGGGTATCCTCCAAGGATCAGTCTCAGGGCTGTCGCTCTTCCTAATCCATATTAACGACTGTGTCGATGACATGGATTGCAGTGCCATCATTTTTGTTGATGATGTCAAAGTCTGGAGAGCCATCAGGTCTGACGCCGATAGGCAAGCACCACAAGAGACCCCCACTGAATTATTAACTGGTCTGCTCGTTTGCTCTTAAATTTCAATGTTAGTAAGTCTGTGGTTTTGTGGCTTCGTACAAGACGGATTTAAAGAAATCGGAGAGAGGGGAGGCTTTCATCTGGCAACCGGAGACCAGATGAAAGCCTCCCTTCTCTCCGATTTCTTTAAATCCGTCTACACCCTGGAACCAGCAACTCTTGCTTCCGGTAAGTCTGCTCATCGACAGATAACTCCATCCTTATTTTCCTCCTCATTGCCCAAAATAGAGAACCAATAGTTTTCGTACGACACTGTCAGGGCCGAATAATTCCAACTTAGGCCTGCCAAATCACCTGAGCCGCATAAATTTTCTGCACTAGCACTAAGAGAATTAGCTAACGAACTGTGCAAATTTCTGGCTGCCATCTTCCAGAGGTCTTTTGAAGAAGGCGAACTCCCGGAAGAATGGAAGTGGTCAAGCGTCAACTCGATCTATAAGGGAGGTTCACGACTTGATCGTGCAAATTACCGTCCGGTTAATCTAAATTGCATCGCGCGCAAAATAATGGAGCGCATTACCAAGAAGAATTTAACGGAATTCCTGGAAAGCGACAAAATATTATGTGATAGACAGCACGGCTTTCGCCCAGGACAAAGGCCACATACAAGGCCTAACCAATTGATGTCATATTTTTCGACTTCATGAAGGCCTTCG